GGAAACATAACGGTTGAATCGAACCTCAACGACTTCACATAAATCCAACGAATCACAATGTTGGACCATAAGCACGATTCAAGACTCATAATCCTATCATCGATACTTAAGACACCGTTCTAGATGTACGTAACATCAACGGAGACACACAAGTACACAAGAATTCATCAAACGGAGGCCAAAACATCACGTACTAGAGGGTGGAACCACGGGTGGATAACCACCCGCCGACCCCGTCACAGGTTCCAGCGGGCGGAACCACGGGTGGACAGCGACCCGCGGACCTGCCCGCCTCAACTTCACCTTCCACCCGCAGGTGGAACGGCGGGTGGATAGTCACTCGCTGTTCTGCCCGCGGGTACACGTACCCAGGGGAAGATTTTCCTTCGGGGAAAAACATCAACATTGCCATGTCCAAGTCCAAAACACCCAAAACCTCACATTCAACAAGGAAATGACTTGAACACATGAATAGCTCAAAAGATAGCATTTAAGAACCCTAAATACAAGCTCTAACATGCATAAACACAAGATTATGCATCAAATCACTCACAATATCAAGAACATCAATAGAGTAGCAAGAAATCATCATAGCAAGTGTAAAATAGGTTTTGTATAGCATGAGTTACCTTTGTAGATCAAGATACACTTCCTTTCTAGCCCCTAGACTTCACTTTGAAGTTCCTCCTCAACCAAATCTTCTCAACACAATCAAGCACACAAAGAAAAACCACAACTTAGATAAAGACTAGGCAAAGCTACTCAAAAACACCAACAAAGCTAAGATCTTACCCTTCATAGTGCTTTAATGGTGGAAAGGTGAAATCTTGGAGAGTTCTTTTGCAAGGATGAAAGGGATTTTACTTGGCTTGGAGAGAAAGCTAGCCTTTCTAAAGAGAAGGTAGAGTGACTAAGGTTTCTTGCCAAATGTAGGAAGTGAAGTGTGATCTTGCTAGGGTGAATCTTGAATGCCAAGCAAGGGTGAAAAGGTTAAAATACCCTTACTTTCTCAAAAAGGCTAGGAAGACCCCAAAAGGCTAGGTAAAACCTATAAAGCTCAAGATCCTTTTTATGGACTAAACCAATTGACCAAGGAATTGGTCAATTTAAGTCCTCCGACTTTACAATTAAGAAATTGGAAGGGAAAATTCATAAGGAAGATTTAGAATTAATTGTATAATCAATTCTATTTAAGGATTGGATTTTCGGGGTGTCACAGTCTAAAATAGTCTTAAACTTTTATTTGCAAGAAAAATACTCCAAGTGTCGATTTATAAGGTATGAACCTCCACTCGATCTTTATTCTTCAAATTATGCCTGAATTAGATTGACCACCTTCAATTCAACTCCACTTCATGAAATATCTTCGCCCTTGCTCTCGTCATTGGACCTCCCAAGGTTTGCAAATGATCTGTTTCCTTGTTCTCATCCTCATAGTTGTCCTCAACACTGGATCATTAAAAATATAGGATGAACGACTGTAATTAAATCAACATATCTGCATAGATTAAGGAAATTGGGTGAATAAAATAGTAAATAATATTTTTCCAAGGGCAAATTTGTCTTATAAGCATAGTGAACCGCGTCAAAAAAGGAAAACATTTCTTCCACATTACGATTTCCAAACTTGTTTCTTCTCTAACAATATTAATGGAAGCAAACAACTATTTTTAATTACTAATATTAACAACCACGCCCAGAAGTACGTAAAAAAATAAAACCCCGATCCACAACTAAAAAACCTAACAACAATATTATGCACTTGTACTATAACATCGATGCACTTGTTCTATAACATCGATGCACAACTACTACATCTATAAGTTGCAGCCACCACCGCAACGCACACAAAATTGACCACCACCGTACTAACATAGAACACACAATACTTTCCCACATAATGCATAACAGCCTACGATGCACCCCTCATAAAATCACAAATTAGTCAACAAACCTAATCAAAAGTACACTCTAATGAACCGAAAACAAAAGAAAACAATAACAATAACAAACAAACAAACAAAAAACAAAAAATAAAGAGAAAAAAAAAGAAATTATGATGAGCAATCACCACCGATTTCAGAAAAAAACCAAGATAAGAATGAAGGAAAACGATCGGACAAATCTTTAGGTGGGAATGCAATTGTAATTCCCTCCAACCAAATGCCATGTAAAAACGACCTAAAATCAAGGAGCATAACATATTTGAAAACTCCATGCAAGGAAGAACTGAACAAAATTACTCTCATACTCCTGCCACTTAAATTAATAATTAAAAAAAACTGTTTAAGAAAACATATCATTTGGGATGTCAATCTTGGCGGGAAAGGTTACGATTTGAAATACTCATGATTCTTTAAAAGGTAGTATTTGTTTTATACTTTTTCAAACATTTTCAGTCCAAAAAATCTAAGCCTCCACCATCGGGGTTCAAACATATGACCATCCATTTGAAATGGTAATCGGGATGTCATCGCACTACATAGTAGTTGTTGTTGGATATATCGTGAAAAAAACCCCAATAATAATCCTACGAAATGATTATTATTTTTATGGAAATTTTGGGAAGGATGATCGGATATGGTGGGAAGGATGAAAGGATACTGAGGGAAAGATGTTTAGTACGAGTAGAACGAAACACTTTTTCCTTAAAACCTTATTTGCTACCTCCCACAAGTGCTAGGAGCGTTGTAGCCTAGGTTTCCCAGGATAAATGTACTACGGTTCAATCGTTTGAGCACCCAAACTTTGAACCCGGCGAACTAGAGCAAAACTTCGAACACAGTATGCTAAGAAATGAGTAGAAGCAGAGATTTTGAAGCATGAAAATCGTGTAAGTATGTGTACTTGTTTTTTATTATTTTTTTTTTTTGAGTAGAATTAGGTTAGTTTTCATAGTTTTTAATTGTCTATCATTTGAGTATAATGTTGTCTATTTGTGTGATTGATCAATGTATACTTTTGCGGGTGTACGTGCATTGTACTGGTGTGCATTGTGGCCTCCATAGGTTTTTACACAACGGTAGTGTGCATTTTGGGTGATTTAGAGGAGGAAAAATGTCATCCTGAAAAAAAAAAAAGGATTGATCATTGCCACATTTAAGGTTCATCAATGAGTGATGTTTGTAGTAAAAAAAAAGGAGCAAATTATACTTTTGGTCCTATGACTATAGGGGGCGTGTTAATTTCGGTACGTGACTTTTAAAACTAACAATTTAGTCCTTTAACTATGTTTTTTTAGCAGATTTGGTCCTCCCGGTCAAATCACCGGTGGAAATTGACCGAAAAAATTAAAACCTTTTTAGATTTTTTATTCACGAGGACAAAATGGTCTTTTCATGAGGACCAAATTTATAATTATTGAAAACTTTTAAATTTTCAATGTTTATAATATAGATCCCACCCCTTTTCCCCTCAGTATAGGTGTGCAATGTGGCCTTTGTAGTTGGGTAACATTAAAATTTGCACCAAAATGAATAATCCCAGCATATTCTTACATCAAAATTTATTCACCCCAACGCATTACACCAAATTCTACAACACATTTTATTCATTCACTAAAATAATTTGTATTATCATAATTTAGAATTTTATATTAATACTTCAATTATTTTAATATAAAATATAATTATAATGAAAATAATATTTTTATTCCACAATAATATAGCATATAACATCTATTACATATTCAATATTAAGTTTTTCAATATTAATCTTCTTTTAATTGTCTTGATGAGATCTTTTAAATAATATAATTTATTTTTAATAATATATAACTTATGTCTAAGTATTTAACAAAATATGGAAATATAACCCTAAAGAAGATGCAAAAGGAATTAATAAAAAAAAATAATGGCAAAATAGAGAAAAAAGTTCTCAAATTTTTGCCATTGATGAACAATATTGTTCACCTACGACAAAAAATTTGTCATTTTAGCGTGTTTATTAGAAGCCAACTGCGCTAAATTTTTTGTCAAAATGTCATTTTTGAAGATTGGAGATGGTCTTATAATGAGTGTGCGTAGAATGGAGGAAAAGTCAGGGATACAAATAGTTTAATTTTTTTGGAAATTTTGTGTAAATATACTGGAGTAGATTGGACAAGTCAGAAGTACCCGGTACCAATCAAATTGCTATGATACGTCCTATTAATGCCAAATTCCTTTTTTTTTTTTTTTTTTTTAAAGAGTTCTACGGAGTATTATATAGACTTTCAAATCTTATTATATGGTGTGGCGGGTATTAATAAATTATTTTTTATGTGGGTCTCAATATAAATATCTACATCAAAATATTATATGTGAAGTAAAATTGAGGGTAGAAAATGAGAGTACACAAAGTATTTTTTTTTTTATTTTTTTTTAAACTGAGAAAGCAAAAGTGCCGTAAAAAATTTAAAGGAATAAATTCAAATTGACAACTGAACATAACCCGAAAGTACAATTAGACCACTGATAAAAGTGCAATTAGACAACTGAACACCCCAAATGTATACAATTTCACCTGATAGCAGGTTACTATCCATTTTATCAGGTTGCCTGCTTGGTGACTTTACATTTTTAAATACTTTTTAATAACAAATTTAAAATATTAAAAAAAAAATGTGGGGTGTCCGCTAGCCACCCCCTCCTCCTTCGTCTCCGGTTGGAGACCTCTTTGTATCCAACCGGAGACAAAGGAGGAGGGGGGAGGGGGTGGCCATCGCACGTTTTTATTTTTTATTTTTATTATTAAAAGTTATTTTAAAATGTCAACTCATCATCCATGTAAATAAACAACTTGATGAAATAAAGAGTAACATGCTATCGGATAAAATTATATACATTTTGAGTATTTAGTGTCCTAATTGTACTTTTTTTTATTCGTTCAGTGACTTAATTGCGCTTTCATTACGCTCACGGCCTAATTTAGACTATATTCCAAAAATAAAAAATGGAACCCCACGTGAAGAGCGCGTGCGTGCTCGCTAAACTCAACCAACCAGATAGGGTTTAACAAACATTTCTCTATAACATAACCTACGCTCCATATTTCGGCGCTCTCTCCTCTTTTCTTCTGTGCCACTGAATTTCAAAAGCGGGAATTTTTTTGTTTGGCTTTCTCTCTTCTCTTTCCTCTGCTTTGCCGCACGCTCCTCTGCGTCTATTTCAAGGTTTCAGGCCGAGATTGAGTTTTATCAGATAGGATAGAGTAACCGCTAACTAGGGTTTGGGGCCTGCCATGGATGAGGGTTTGCTTGATGACATCATACGGAGGTTGTTGGAGGCGAAGACCGGGAGGCTGCCGAAGCAGGTGCAGTTGACGGATGCCGAGATTAAGGAGCTTTGTGTCGCGTCCAAACAGATTTTTCTCAGCCAGCCAAATCTTCTCGAACTCGAAGCTCCTATCAAGATTTGTGGTAATTTGAAAATGAAGTTTTTTTTTTTTTTTTTTTTTTTTTTTTTTTTTTGGTTTTTGTGGCTTTTTCCTTGTTGCTCGCCGTATATATTGTTAACCGTAGTTCGCTAAATATCTGTGTAAACTATATTCCGCTTTATTTGTTTATTTATTTTAGTCTTTTTTTTTTTTTTCATTTATGTAAATTGTTTTTGCTCTTAGTTTATTTGTGGCTTATTAATTGCACAGATGACAGATCATAAATTCTTGTTTGTATATTCTTTAGCTCTTGGAGTATGAAAGTTCTGGCCTTTTGGCCGCGAATGTTCAAAATTATGTCTTTCGCCACTTGGTGGTGGAATAGTGTAGGCAGGCTTGGCTGGGACTATTCAAATTTATTTCTTTGACGACGGATTGAATGATTATGTACAACTTGGTAGAATATCATGGTTTGGCTGGTAGTAATTTATGAACTGTACACATTTGTAATAAACGAATAGCTGCTGATTGGTTATTGGTACACTATAAATATTGTTACTCCTAAACATGAAGTTACATAGTGTTTTCTAGTAAAAGGCTAATGGAAAGATGAATTTTTACTCTATTTAACTGTGTGTGTTTATCGGATAGCTTACATAGTTAATATGTAAGTGAAAACTTTAGGCGTGGTGTAGTTGTTGTATTTCTAGTGCTTAAGTGTGAATAAAAGTGCCTGGATAATTCCATCTATGTTCTAGTGGGTTGCAATATATGGTATAACCATATCTAGATTATCAAATATTACTCATTAAATAGGGATAAAGTACAAATAAGCCATTGAACTATTTGGGAAACAACAATTAAGCCATCGAACTCAAATAACCCCCAAATAAGCCATGAACCCGGAAAAAAAAAGAGCAATAAGCCATTTAAAAATATATTACTATGTAGGTGGATTATAAAAAAAAAAACGTAAATAAAATAAACATTTGTCAATTCAGTTAGCAAAAACATGGAGTTAACCTATTAAAAATGTTAATTGCTCTTTTTTTTCCGGGTTCAATGGCTTATTTGGGGGTTATTTGAGTTCGATGGCTTAATTGTTGTTTCCCAAATAGTTCAGTAGCTTATTTGTACTTTATCCCCATGAGATAAAGCTTAACTTTGCTAAAACAATGCAAGAGGCATGGAATGTCGTGCACCGTCAAATTGTTGTAATGAAGAGAAAAATAGTATTGCAAGGTATCAAGGTTTGAACTCCCTGTGATGGGCGTGCTTCCTTTCTGTGCAAATTTGCATTTGGTGGGACTTATAGTAGCATAAGAATGCTTTGACTGACTAGCTCTATTGATATGAGAATCTACAAGGTACTTAAATTACTATGGAATTTAAAATCCAATGCTTAGTTGTTTAGTAACCATGATTATATTATTGTTCTCTAATTTTTTATTTGATTGTTTATATCATTACTTTCCTGGTATTATGGTTGGTACTCCCTTGGTATCCTTTAAGGACATTCTTACTTATTTAAAACTAATGCATATATTGACTTTATTTCTTGTAAATTCAACTTCAATGTAAAAGCAAGAGATTTTATCATTTGACATGTATGTGCTCTTTTATTGAGGGAGAGTTAGCTAAAAATCATGTTCATTTGTCTTATTTTTTCCATGTAGGCTAATAATCTCTCTCTTATTTTATATATATATATTTTATGTGTGCTTTATTTTCTTTGTAGGAGTTGTTTGCTTTATCACTATTTTATGGACAAACAGTCAGATAGGAAATTTAGATGTGTATTTTTTGAACTGAAGTGACCCTCTTCTAAAAACATATGTATAAGAACCAATGCATATTACCTTTAATTTTATTTGCAGTCTGAGTGAAGTTACTCTGGTTTTTACTTATTAAATATGGAGTAAAAGGCTACTCAATGTTTTATTATCCAGCAAAATGTTCTAAAAATATTTGAAAACTGAGTTATTATTCTGCAGGTGATATTCATGGCCAGTACTCTGATCTTCAACGGTTGTTTGAGTACGGTGGGTATCCGCCTGAGGCCAATTATCTATTCTTAGGAGACTATGTTGACCGTGGTAAGCAGAGCATAGAAACAATTTGTCTTCTCCTTGCATACAAGATTAAATACAAGGAGAACTTTTTTCTCCTCAGAGGCAACCATGAATGTGCTTCTATCAATCGTATTTACGGGTTCTTTGATGAGTGCAAAAGGAGGTATAATGTACGTGTTTGGAAGACATTTACAGAATGTTTTAACTGCCTGCCTGTTGCTGCGCTTATTGATGAGAAGATTCTATGCATGCATGGAGGACTATCTCCTGACTTGAAGCACTTGGATATGATTAGGAATATACCCCGACCTATAGATGTACCAGATCAGGGCCTCCTATGTGACTTGCTGTGGGCTGATCCTGACAGAGATATTGAAGGATGGGGAGAGAATGATAGGGGAGTATCATATACATTTGGAGCTGACAAGGTTGCTGAATTTCTTGAGGAGCATGACCTTGATCTCGTCTGCCGAGCTCACCAGGTAATATACGCCCTCTTTGTTGTGCTCCTTTTTACTAATGGGCTGGGTTTCTGCATCCAGTTCACCATCAATTGGATTTAACGTGTAAAACTTTTCATTGGTTTTTGGAAACCAATGAAACTGACTTCTGGAAAATATTTTCTGAAAAATGCGTCATTTTCTAAAAAAACATTTTCATTCCCAGTGTTTGGTTGCATTTCAGAACTGTCTTGGTGTGTTTGATTCATTTTCCAGAAAATGAGCAGAATTGTATAATTAAACATTTTAATTGTTTTGTTTAGAATATAACAATATTTAGAATAATAATAATAATATAAATGGTGGTAGTATTTATAGAAACATTTTGACCAAACATTTATTTTCCTTTGACTCACATTTTTCACTATTTACCAAACACTGGAAATCTACCGGGTTTCTAAACACACCCTTAATTGGCTGTGTTTCTGCATCCAGTTCACCTTCAATTGGATTTAACATGTAAACATTTCATTGGTTTTTTTTTCACTTTCAAAATCATTGCATACACTGTATAATCTATCTACCGAAGCCATGCACAATAAAATGAATCACCCTGAGTTTCTTTAATGGCAAATCACCCTTTTTATCTTCATTGCATTATTCTGTCACTTCTTTTTACCAGAAGATTGCCATTTTATATCTTTATTTTCTAGGACCCATCTTTTACTGTTGACATTTTGTTTCTCCTCACCTCCAGTAGGACTGTAGGAGTGTAACGTGCACTACCCCTTTATCCAATTCCCTGAAAAATTCATTTCTCCTTGTTACTACTTAGGTTGTGGAAGACGGATACGAGTTCTTTTCAAACCGACAGTTGGTAACTATATTTTCTGCACCAAATTACTGTGGTGAGTTTGACAATGCTGGTGCGATGATGAGTGTAGACGACACATTAACATGTTCTTTCCAAATCTTAAAGGCCTCTGAGAAGAAAGGAAAATCTGGGTTTGGCAATATGCAGAGGCCAGCAACACCACCTCATAAGGTAGGTAACAACTATGAAATAACTGGGGTGTCTTCCCTACTCTAATTGGTGAAATCTCATGTTTGAATTTTTTGCTTCGATGGATGATGTTTCAGGGTGCCAAGGGCTAAATGGTGTGCCAACAATTACTTTCTGTCTGGTCAAGATTGCTACGCGGTGAGGCAACTACACCTAATTTGTCTACTTAAAACTTGTGTTCCCAAAATCAGTTTTGCATCTCACAATCTATGGATTGGGGAGAGAAGCTCGATTGCCCATGGTCCTATATTTTATGTTCCCACAAAAGGGTGTAGGGATCAACTAGTCCCAGATGATGCGACGAAAATGCTGTTCACCTATGTAAAACTAGTCTTTTTTAATGTATAATGCTGCAACACAAACTTCCAAAGGGATTTTGTTTCTTTGTTGTAGTACTAGTGCTTCCATTTTCTTGTGAAACAATTAGACTAAATCTGAAGACTAATGCGAGTTGGCTTTAGTTAACTGCACACATTGTAATTTTCTCTGTCAAAACTACATTGATAATTATTCTCATTTTATTTCATACTCTTTTATGTATTCATTGCTTTTATGGGGTGAATAACTTTTTTTTAATCCCCCGATTATTTGATTTTTTTATTTTTTATTTTTATCCTTAAAAATTTACAATATGTTTGTTTAATGGAACAAACCAGTTGTGTTCTTGGAAAATTATTCAGGGCCTTTCGTCCTTGAATACTATTCCCATTAGTGTTTCTTATTTCAAGGGAATAACTTAGGTCCGTTTAGAAAACAGGAAAATAACTTCTGAAAAATGAGTCATTTTACATTTTTCTTTTTCGTGTTTGGTTGCACAGTAGAAAATTATTTTTGTGTATTTAGTTCATTTTTTTGAAAAATGAAGTAGAATTGTGTAATTGAACATTTTATATAATTAATTATTTTGTTTAAAATATAAAAAGATTTATAATAATATTTCTTTTTTTGAAATCAAATAATATTATTTATTAATTTTTTTTTAAAAGACAGCTGAAACCGAAGAGTACTGTTCTCTGGTTTCCACCCGAAAATCAGAGAGAAGCTCTCTCTGGACGGAAACCAAAGAGAAGTTCTCTTTGGTTTCCGACTGAAAACCAAAGAGCACTGTTCTCTGGTCGAGCACTGCTCGCTGCACGGAACAATTTTTTCAATCGCTGCGAAAACTAGTGAAGAGAAAAACAAGTACAGCGAACCAAACCAGAAACCAAACCCTCACCCGGAAAAAAGTACAGTGCAACTACTGTTGGAGGAGTGTTGATGGAGGCGGAGCTTCTTTAGCCACAGGAGGAGAGAATCAAAGAATGAGAAATGACTTCCCAAAAAAAAAAGAAGGGGGAGAGAATCAAAGAATGAGAAATGACTTCCCAAAAAAAAAAAGAAGGGGGAAGCCATTTTCTAGAAAAGAATGCTTATTTTTCTTTGACTACATGCCATTTTCCTTTGACTTCTCTTTTTCCTGCCTAACCAAACACCAAAAACTCGAAAAATGATTTTCAGAAATCATTTTTCGAGTTTCCAAACACACCCTTAGATACATTGATTGTTACTTAAAAGAAAAAGTGTTATACTTTTGATGAAAAATGTAATACTTTTAAATTAAAATGTAATATTTAGATGTTGAAAAGTTATGAAAAAAAGTGTAATACTAATTACGGATAATTAATAGATTATTAATTATAAGAAAAAGTGCAATACTAGTTATGGATAAATTGATTATTACATATAAGAGATAGTGTAATACTTATTAGGAAAAATGTGATACTTTGATTAAAAATGTAATACTTGTAAATGAAAATGTAATATTTAGGGGAATGGTAACTTAAGATGAAAACCATAATATTTATGATGTAAAGTGTAATACTTATGAAAAAACCTAATCCAACTCACGGATAAAGATACATGAGATGGTCTCATAAGAAATTTTGTATTTTTGTAAATCTTAACTTTTCATTGATTATTTTGTTATAAATTAAAAAGTCATTCTATTATTGTTGTTGTTCTTCTAACCCAAAATATATTATTTCTTTTTATGTTTATTATACTTACATTCTTTAAACCAATCAAATATCGTAATACAATTTTTGAAGTTTATTTCTTTCAAATAATTGATATGATGAGAACTGATAGAATTATAGTGAATGAATATCATGACAACTTTACATACTAGGAGAATATATACAAGAGGAATCATAGGGAGACTAGGATAGGGAGTCATAATGTGACTCAAATACATCGAGTCCTAATACTCCCCCTCAAGCACATGATATGCTAGTAACATGTAGGGCTTGTTTGGTTATCAGCGGTTAGTGGTCAGCGGTAGCGGGTTGTGTTAGCGGTTATCAGATAGCAGATTGTATTAGCAGGTTTGACCAACAGATTGTATTAGCGGTTTATAAAAAAGTGTTTGATAAAATTAGCTGTTTAGATTAGCGGTTAATATGTAAAATGACCATAAGGGTATACATTATAATTTATAATTTATAATTTATAATAATAATAATAATAATAATAATAATTATTAAAAAAAAAAAAAACGAAAGATGGGAGCAGCACAAGCTGCTCCCCTCTTGTATTCCCACTTTTCCCACCGTCCCACATCGGTGGGAAAAGTGGGAATGGAGCCTTGAGGCTCCTATTTAAGGAGCCTCAAGGCTCCACAAATTTGTTGCCCATCCCATATGGGCAACATTGAGGAGCCGTTTTGGCTTCTCAAATTAAGGAGCCATTTCGGCTCCTCAATAAGTTTTAAGTTTTTTTTTTTTTTTTTAAATGTAAACATGGACATTTTGGGGAAAATTTAATTTTCCCCAAAACGCCAACTGCAAATGCTGCAAAGTGCAGCGTTTGCAAAAGCAGCGGTTTGGAGCAAACCGCTGCTAACCAAACGATTTTTTTTTGGCGGTTTGACCATGTCAAACCGCCAAAAACGGTGGATCCGCCAAAAAATGGCAGATCCGCCAATAACCAAACATGGCCGTAGCTTGTCTCTAAGAAAAGAAAATCTAGGACTAGGCAAAGTTTTTGTAAATATGTCTGCAAGTTGATTTGATCTTTTGCGATCCAAGTTACTTCAGCACAAACATCTACTAGAGCTTTATATTCAGTCTCAGTAGAAAATTTAGCTACAGTTCTTTCAGATCCAAGATATAAGATTAGTCCAAAAAAAAACAGCAAAACCACTAATGGACTTACGATCTTCAGGACAACCAACCCAATCAGAATCAGAAAAAACATGAATTTCTTTTGACATTGATTTGCGTATATGCAACCCAAACCCAATTGTTCCTTTAACATAGATGCGGTAGGAGCATGCATGTGCTGACAAAGCTGATTAACCGCAAAGGATAAATTAGGTCGTGTAACAGTGAGATATTGTAATGCTCCAGCCAGACTCCTATATTGCGTAGAATCATCATATAAGTCTGCACTAAAGGGAACAATTTTCAAAACAGAGATAGGAGTAGAAAGAGGTTTGCATTCCGCCATTCCAGCACGTTTCAAAATATCATTCATATATCGCTATTGAGACAATAGGATTCCATCATCACATTTAACAGTTCTAATGCCAAGAAAAAAATTTGGTTCACCAAGATCTCTACTTTTGAAAGAGGCAGACAATTTTGAGAGTAAGTGAGTAACTAGGGCCTGATCACTTCCCATTACAAGAATATCATTCACATAGACCAACAAATAAACCAGTGCAGAATCTTGAGAGAAATATAATAGAGAGACATATGTCTTTGATGCTTGAAAACTAACGGATATTAAAAACGTGTGTAAACGATTAAACCAAGCTCTAGAAGCTTGTTTTAATCCATACAGGGAACGTTTCAATAAGCAAACATGGTGTAGAAAACTAGCATCAATATAACCCGGGGGTTGCTTCATATAAACAGTTTCATCAAAATTTCAATTTAAAAAATCATTATGGACATCTAGCTGCCTGATAACCCATCCAGATGATAAAGCTAAGGATAATAGAAGCCTTATAGTTGTGGGTTTCACCACTGGACTGAATGTATCAAAGAAATCCTGACCTGAAACCTGATTGAAACATTTTGCTACTAACCTGGCTTTATGCCTCTCAATAGTGTCATCTGCCTTCCTTTTCGTGCGAAACACCCATTTACACCTAATAATATTCATACATGTGGTGATGAAACTAGGGACCAAGTCTGATTTTGTAGTAGAGCATTAAATTCTTGGTCCATAGCTTGACGCCACTCAGGATATTTAACAGCTTGAGTGTAACACGTAGGTTCCGTAGGACAAACCTGAGCAGCCAGAGTCGTAGGAGGAGCCTGAGACTTACTACGAGTCGCCATGGAGTGGGTGCGGATGGTTGGCCTCGTCGATTTTCCACGCGGACGGCCACGCGGACGTCGTGCAGCTTCTACAGGTTCGACCGAGGATGACGTAGGCTGCACGGAATCAGCTTGCAAGGGCTCGTCCGGCAACACAGGCGTCTGATGCACAGAATCCGATGCAGCATTGCTGAAGTCATGGTGGAGAATAGATTCCGCCCAGGGAGCAGTCTGAGTAGGTGGTGCAGCCTGCAAGGAAGATTCAGTAGCAAAAGGAAATACTTCTTCATCAAATCTGACATGTCTGCATGTGTAAATCTTATTAGTCTGTAAGTCCATGCACCTATACTCCCTAAAAGACTTAGGATAACCTAGGAAGACACAATGAGAAGACCAGTATGACATTTTGTGACGATTGTATGGTCTTAAGTGAGGATAACACAGACAATCAAAGACACGAAGAAAAGAATAGGAAGGAGGAGACTTGTGCAACACGTGATGAGGACTAGAATTATTTAAGACACTGGAAGACATTTTATTAATCAAATAAACAGCAGTCTCAAAAGCAAAATCCCAAAAACGATACGGAATAGAGGCATGCGCCATAAAAGTGAGCCCAGTTTGAACAATGTGCCTGTGTTTCCGTTCAACACGCCCATTTTGCTCATGAGTATATGCACATGACTGTCTATGATTAATGCCTAGTTGCACAAACGAGGAATGTAATTTCTTATATTCAACTCCTAGATCATATTGAATGGACTTGATTTTACGATTAAATGAACGCTCAACTAAAGCACGAAAATAATCAAATATGGCATAAAGATCAGATTTATGCTTCATAGGAAAGTACCAAGTGTAACGAGAATAATAATCAACAAAAATGACAAAATAACGACAACCATTAGAAGATAGCAAAGAAGTTGGTCCCTAAATATCAATGTATATCAAATCAAAAATGTCCGAAGTGCTAGACTCAACACGTGCCAAAGGGAAACATGCATATTTACCCAATTGACATGCTGAACATAAATTAGAATCGCAACAAATACTACGAGTAGACTCACTAACCGAACATGACGGAATATTTTGACTCAGGACACGCGGATGAGGATGACCCAGACGATCATGCCAAATCGAAGCGGAAGCACGAGCGGAGAGAAACGCGGAAATAGACGAATTTAGCACATGCAAAGTGTATAGGCCACCCGAACGACTGCCCCGTAGGAGGATTTCCTTGGTGGTGATATATTTCACAAGAAAAAAATGAAGGATGAAACTCAAAGAACACATTTTTATCTGTAGCAAAACGTTGAACATATAATAAAGAGGTAGATAGACTAGGAACATGCAATATATCAGTCATCGTAAAAGACCTAGAAGGGGTATCAAAAGTGGCATGACCAACACGAGTAATAGACAGGCCCATACCATCACTGACACGTAAAGTGTCATTACCAGTGTACTTCTTCGATGTAGAAAGGGCAGCTATGTCTGGAGTTGCATGATTTGTAGCTCTAGCATCCGGAACCCAAGTATGAGACTTTGATGAGGTGTTAGCACCAAAACCATTTTGAAACACCAAATTAGCCCGAGGACCTGGAGCCCCTGAATAACGCCGAATACAAGTGGCTCCTGTGTGATCAAAACCTTTACAAATTTGACACTGTTCATCATAGCGTCGAAAATAATTGGTTCCCGTGTGATCGAAACTTTTACAAATTTGACACTGATCATCATAACGCTGAAAACAATTGGCTCATGTGTAACCAAAATCTTTACAAATTTAACATTAAATATTAAAATCACATATAACACGTTGCTCGCTAGAAGGACCAGCCGCACGCTGCTGCCACGTCTTCGATCGGATAGACGTCGTTGCGGCTTCCATCGTCTTTTGCACGGGAAGACGTCAATAAAATTGGAGGCTGTGGAATTAATTCTGACGGCAGCACTCCAATAAACAAAACGTTAGAAACAAAAGAAGTTCCTATGTTGCTGTTGCCACCATAATTTGCACTTTAATTAGTAATCAAAAACTTTGCATTACATGCAAATTATGCACATTAAATGCGGTTGGTGTCCAGAACCAAAATTAATTTGCATCCAAACCAAAATTAATTTGCATCCAAATCTCCATCTGTAATGAGCTCGCTGGATCAAATTGTTTAACCCCTAGCTAACTCATACTAGACGAGAACTGATAGAATTGTAGTGAATGAATATCGTGACAATTGTACAGACTAGGGGAATATATACAAGAGGAATCCTAGGGAGACTAGGATAGGGAGTCATTATGTGACTCAAATACATATAATCCTAATACTAGTCCTAATAGATATTCCATTTCTTATGGAATATAATTCATATTCTTTCAAAATTTATTTCGTAAAACAAATACGTTGTTAGACTTTCATTAAAAAAATAGAGTTAATTCCCAAAATATTCCTTCGGCTATATCATTTTCTCAAATTGGTTCCTTAACTTTTAATTTTTTAAAGTGGTCATCCGACTTTTGAGTTTTAAGCCAAAATAATCATCTGTTAGCTTTAGCGTTAAGTTAGTATTAAAATGAAGGGTAAAACTAGAAATTTAGGATCTGTTTAATAGAAAACTGTTCTCTATTTTATATTTTGTTTTAAGTTTTCAATTTTCATTCTCTATTTTCTATTTAGAAAACTTGTTTACTAACACTTATTTTTTCAAATTTATTTTTTTAGATTAACGTTATAAAATTTAACACAAGTTTAATTTCGAGTGATTTTTAGATCTTATATTTAAAATATTTTTACATATGTTTGGTTTAAATGGAATAATTTTTTTTTTTTTTTTAACTTTTAAGTTTAATATATGTAAGATTTTTACATTTGATAACTGAACAAAATTTATAGCTGTATATAACATAATAACTAAAAATATGTCTGAACTAATAACCTACTAAGTTCACCTAAAATTTAGTTTAAATAATATTAATATTTTTTTGAGCTAATATTTAAAATATCTTTTGGATATATTCATTTGAATGACATGTATATGAATATATAACTTTTACTTTGAATTCTAATATATATGAGATTTCAATATCCGATATCTGGACCGAACTTGTATTACTGTGTAACATAATTAAAAATATTCGAACTAATAATCTATTGAGTTCAATCAAAATCTAAAACATTATATGGAGTTTAATTCTTAATTTTGATAATGTAAATAGTGTCTAACTTTAAAGTGTAAGCAAATAAGTCATGTTTAAATAAATAAAGTAGAAAAGATAGAAGATAGTGATAAGTAAAATAAGATGATAATGAATGTAATCATAGTAATGTGGTTATAGTGACATATAACTAAATAGATGATAGATGATAGATGATTTTGTTTTTCATTTAGAAAACAGTTTTTAAAAGTGTTCCAGTTTTTTAGAAAACTGGAAAATTATTTTAAGTTTTCAAAATGGAAAACTGTGCTAGTAAACATGTTTTCTGTTTTCTGTTTTCTATTTTTCAGTTTCCAGTTTTCAGAAATTTCCAGTTAGTAAACGGCCCTTAGGTTTTGCAGTCCTATTTAAATTAATATGTAATTCCTTCCAACAGTCTGCGCACATATTTCTTCAAATTAGATTTTTGCTCTCCTAAATCTGCAATCAAAATGTGGGATAATCAACTAGGAGGCCAAAAAAGTTCATCTTCAACTTCATTCACAAACTTCCCAAGGCAAAGATTTCTGGCATTCACTTGATATATTCATCTCATTGTAACATCACACCACTTGTAAGTTGTAATATAACATAGCCCAGGACTGCTCAGTCGTCATCCGATAGACCGACTGACTAACCGAGTGCCCTCTTTCACTTGTTCACAACATACGTATTCGTAGCGTAACCGTAACCCTCGGGACTATTTATGCTATCAACTATATATACCAAAACTTAATAAAATTACAAAATTTAAAAATAAATTTTAATATAGTAATTTACAAAATAAAATAACAAATTTAAAAATAAAAAGAAAACATCTCGATTTGACTTTCTGGTAGGAAAAAAAAAAAAAAAGGAAACAAGGGCTAGATGAAAACAAGGGTTAGAAATACGTAAAAAAAAATTGAATTTTTTTGCCAAAAAAAAAAAATGACAAAAACAGTAAGTTAGATGGAAAAATAACATGTAAACATTTTGTTTTTATTTTATTTTTTTATGTAAGCAAATTAGATGTGTTACTTGTTAGAAACTTGCTAAAAATGCTAGATGAAAAATAATTGGGAGTATAATAACCTAGATGGACCATATTTTAATTTATCGTGCAAGATGAACAATCAATATTAGTACATGAGCCTATTTGACCATTCATTATTATTATTATTATTATTATTATTATTATTATTATTATTATTATTATTATTATTATTATTATTATTATTTAAATATATCATTAATGGTGTCCCCACCATTTGCGCTTGTGTGTGGCGCGTCACAGGCGTCTGGAGAGAACTTTATCTCCGGACTTCTCTCCTCACTAACCGTGTTCCTTCCTTTCTTTCTATTTTCTCTCATTTAATTTTCACCATTGATGATGTCCTTAGTAGACAGTAGATAATCAAATTTTAAATAACATTTAAGTAATACTCCGTAATAAATTAAAGAATAAAAATTAAAAATTGTTAATATTCGGCGATCCATTTTTTTTAAAGAAAAATAAATTTAATTCATTGAATCATAGCAGGAAACCTCATACAAGGTAGGAAAAGGAATAGAGAGTCATTCCATACAATCTATCAAAGAACTAGCTTTATTGGCCAAGAGATAGGTTGCTTGGTTCGTAAATGTACAAAAGCAGTGATACTAAAGAGGTGGTTGGTTGGATCAACAATGGTGAAAATAATCTGAGTGGCCCTTGTAGGGATATCATCCATGCCTGTAAAAGTTGGATAAGCAGGGATTTGGGGCGTAAAAATTTCCTACATCCCCGTGAGCATAATATCGTGACTGATACTCTTGCTAAACATGTTTTCGAGAGGTTGTCGAGTGATGTACAAAAATTACTGCTGACCTGACTCTATTATGCTTACAGTGAGGCTTGATTTCATGACCTCTCATATGAAAGAATCACTACATACCATCTGAGCACAAGATATAAAGTATCAAATTAATTAGACTTTTTTTTTTTTTTAACTTAATGCACTAATTACATAATCTCATATAATTAATGAAATTATTTTACCTTTATACCTTAAATTAAATATGTTACGGAGTATTAGATATAAGTCATCACGCTAAAACTTAGCTTCACTTCAAAAAGAGTCAATTTGGTAGCATCCCCTTCCTCCGCCACAGCCATTGCTGCTGCTACTATTGACTTCAAAGTTCAGTCTAATGTTTTTCTTTCTTAAGTGGACAACATATCATTTTCGGAGTATTTATTTATGGTAGTTAGAAGTTTTCTTCAAAACTTTTGGGGGGTTAAAAAGGAATTAAGATTAATATAGTGGCAACTATGAAAATAACACGAAGAAGATTTCATTCCACCTCCATCTCTCTCACATAATCGAGCTCCAAAATTCAAATCAAGAAAGGCTACAGAGCTAGGGTTTTGCAGCAGAGACTGATGTCTGGGAAATTGCCACGGCATTGAACTGCATTTTGATTTTGAAGATAGTTACGGAAGCTCGAAGCTTTACGTCGATTTAGAGCTCAGTTCAGTGAAGTAGCTGCGGCGGAAATGTACAGTGGCTCAAGCGATGGCGAAGGGCATGACCCATCAGGGACCCGGAAGATTCCTTCACCTTCGTCTATGCTCTGGGTCCGTAATCTCCGACGCTTCATTGGGTCCGGGGCGGGTCTTGGCTCTGAAGCTCTCATGGGTCAGTTCGTTACTACTTCCAATCACTGATATTTCTTTCGCTTTACCACTAGTTGGTTAACAGAATTCCATTTAGTTTGAGCTAATTTGCTCTTTTCTAGTGTAGTTCAGTTATTCAAATAGTTGTAGCTTTTTTATGAAATGAGGAGTTTAGGACTGGAAATTGGTTCATATATTTCCTAGCTGACTATGTTTGTTTCTATTCAATTGCTGTAGAACTTGAAACGAAGAGAATCTTGCTAGATATTTTTAAAGAGAAGCAACAAAAGAATCAGGAATCTGGCAAAATCCCAACCTTCTATAAGAAGGTAAATTGATGTTTTTTCTTCTTCTTATTTTTATTTTTATTTATTTTTTAAGTAGGATAGCTTTACTATCTTAATGCTAACTAATGCTTTGTTTTGTTTTGATTTAAAAAAAAATTGTTGTGCTGTTATTCTCTATTGTTCAGAAACCTGAAGAAGGATCCATAAGTCAAAGAGTTCAGAGGCTGGCAAAATATCGATTTCTAAAGGTGATCCCCCCCCCCCCCACCCCCCCCCCCCTCTAATTGTTTTTCCAGTTACTAGATTCCTCAAGGTTTTATACCTTTGAGGTCCTCTAACAAAAAAGTGCACAAGGACTCAGGTTTTATTTTTAGCTAAGGAGTGAAAAATAAATTTAACTGTAAGTCTTCTTTTTTAATAAATTTTATTTTATTATATTTTTATGCAGAAACAATCTGATCTTCTGTTAAATGCTGATGATTTGGATTCAATGTGGGTATGCCTAAGGGAAAACTGTGTGATTGATGATGCAACTGGTGCTGAAAAGGTCTTGAATTAATCCTATTTTGATTTTATTGCATCTTTGTTCCTAAGTTAACCCTGTTACCTTTTTCACTTCTGTGACTATTAAAGTAAATTTTCTTCAGTGCTTCCTATTTATAGTGCATGACCAAAACATTTCTTCGATCTCTTTTATTTATTTTCTATGTATGGGATCATGCTAAAAATGCATCTTATCTCTTGTCTTTTAGATGAACTATGAAGACTTCTGCCACATTGCCTCGGTCTGTACAGAACAAATAGGACCTAAATGTCGACGCTTTTTTAGTCCTTCAAATTTCATGAAATTTGAGAAAGATGAATCAGGGAGAATAGCCATTCTGCCCTTCTACCTTTATGTGATGCGTACGGTAGGTCTTACTATCTTATTCTCATTAAATAATATATGCTTGCATTTCACCATTAACTTGTTCTTGTAATAAGTGTTTCTATTAATGATGGTTCCAACTTAGAATGTTCATCCCTTTGTCAGCTGCCAAACATTAATGAATTTACAGTTGATACTACTCAGACAAATCTTATCCTGTAATCAGTGTTGTAAAAATCGGCCTAGGCACCCCTAGGCTGAGTCGATTTCAGCCCTAGGCGGCTTTTAGTTGGCTGGCTGACTAGGTGCCCTAGGCGCCGAGTTGGGTGCCTAACTCCGCCTAGTTGCTGCCCAACTAGGCTGAGTCGGCGCCCAACTCGGCCGAGTGGTTTTTTTGCCTGCTCGGTTGCTCCTCTTCTATATTCCTCCGACCATGTACTCAACTAACCATCTAACATATGTAGTTGACTAGTTTGTGGATTATAATAGTCTAACAACTCACAGCCCTGAGTGGGAAAAGTGGAGATGATATACTCGAATTACTCGACCTCCTAGGAGGCGCTAGGCTCCCGA